CCCGCGAGAGCCGGCAAGGACAGAAAGGGGGGCGGGGGCTAAGATAGGAGGGGGAAGGAGGAGGCTGCTACTGGCCAGAGCTGTAGGGGGGCACAAGCGGTGCAGGGACCCTTCCCAGTCTGCACAGGTGGGATGTCTCAGCCCTCTCAGGACGTGGTGCTCCCAGGGTGCTTGGGCAACAGGATTGGGAGGAGGGGACAGGACATGGGGAGGGAGATACCTACAGACTGATGAGGGTCAGGCTAGCCCAGGAAGTTTGTTTCACCTCGTCTGGTGACACCAGCACCCCAGGCTGTTCCCTGGGAGGAGGCAAATTCACAACACAGCCAGGAAACCCTGTTCACACAGCACATGCATCCAGGGGGACTCCCTGCCACTAGCACAGCCTTTCCTTAAGGCTTCTTTGTATGGAGCCAGACCCTCCAGGGCAGCGACCGTAAATATTACAGCCCCTAGCCAGGGTGCCCTGTTCCGGCCCACTCGGCCCTGCCTGGCGCTCACCCCCTCTTGCCAATGCCAGGCATGCAGGGGGGCAGAGTCCAGCCCAGCCCATGGCTCTGCTAGCAGGTGCCGGATGGAGTGGCCACCTTGCACCCCGGCCCTGGTGTGCAGCAGGGGCCCATTCCCACACCTCGGCCCCAGTGCGCAGCAGGGGCACACAAGGGTCTGAACTCTCAGTGTCTTCAGTGTTTTGGTGGGAGCATCCCTGCCCTGCCCAGGCAACGGGTCCTGCTCACGCTGGCGGGTGGCGCCACGTTGTATCGACAAACTCAGAGCAGTGTCAGAACTTAAGAACATCAGAGCGGCCAGGCTGGGTCAGTCCACAGGCCCATCCAGTCCAGCGTCCTGTCTGCCCACCGCGGCCAGTGCAGGGAATCATCCAGTGATTCCTCCCCTGTCGCCCATTCCCAGCCCCTGACAGAGGCTAGGGACACCATCCCTCCAATCCCAGCTGGGACGGGGAAATTATCAGGGAAATTGACTGGGAGGAAAATGTTCACCAGCTGAATGTGGCTGCAGATAGAGAGCTCTTTAAGAAGAGTTTACTCAGGGACCAAAAAGCCCCCCCGTTCCACAAGGCCAACTTTGACTAAAAGTTGGTCAGCGGTGAAGGCAGCAATGAGAAATAAAGAGCCATACTTAGCAAGGGGAAACGAGGGACTAGATTGTCATTGATACAAATTAGAAGTAATGAAGTGTAGAAAATTGGTAAAGGAAGCCAAAGATATCGGGAAAAATCCATGGCTGGCAGAAAATTAAGAAGGAGTTTTTAAAGTATATTATAAACAAAAGAAATCCTA